AGCCCTCGCTTTATGTTGCTCTTTTCTTCCGAGTGCGAGTTTGAGCCGCTCAAACTGGATTGCTAGACTACGCACGCGGAAGAAAGGAGCGGTATATAGTTCCTCTAGAGAGCGCCAGAGTATTCACCCAATGAAGACAGATAGACGAGACAACTATCCGAAACGTCAGATAAAAAATAAACCTATCCCGGTGAATGCCCTTTCTCCTGACTTACCACCTGGGCATCGAATTTTCACTACTATCACTGATCGCTGTTAAGCTCACGAAATGGACAAGACGCTCGAACCCCAGACGGTGCATTCTCGCGTAGTGCAAATCGCATGAAGTTTTCTAAAATTTATCAGCATCCTGCATGCATAGGTTTTTTCGAATACAGAAGCTTTATTAACTGAGCTTGACCTTATTCCTGTTCACCTGTTTAATATGAAAAGTGAGGGAAATAAATCGAATAGTATATTTATAACGCCTACTAACATAATACGAGTAGACATGTTTTATTTATATTCATGTTTTATTCATAAAAGTCCCCTGATTTCCGGTTAATTCTGCGACCTTCTATTTCCTTTTCCACTTCTATTTTTAAAGTCTTACTTTTCTGTCGTGCTATGCCGACACCACCTGTGATCGTCGAATCCTTTAAATCGTGTTTTTGCGGAAAACACGAATTTTACTGGTTTTTGCTGGCGGCCGAAAGGGTGTGCATTCAAAAGCCGGCATCCTGGCGTGCCTGAAATTTCTTGGGATTATACTGCAGGATCACAAATATTACAATCCGACGTTAGCAATCCTTCTAATCGTAAAGGCATTTCAGGATTTGGGCTAGCGTTTCAAGACATCGGTCGTAAGAAGGGCTAAATCCAAAAATTGTGGTGGTCACTCTCTAGAACATACGTCTGTGTAATCACTGTCTTGCTTGAACACGGGAATAAGTACACTCAGTAGGTACAGTTAGCCATGTGCTAATTTCAAGGAGGGGCTGACCATTGCCGTATCCTATGCCTGAAATATCTTGAGATTATACTCCAATATAATAAATACCAAAATCCCACTTAAAGAATGCGTTCTAATCGAAAACGTATTTCAGGGTTGTGGTTATAGTTTCATGAAATAGGTTACTGGTTACTTGGTTGCGATCTTCGATTGACTTCTGTTCTCCAGGTATGTAGCCCTCTCTCCTTTCACATACACCGTTTTCCTGCCTAACTTTCGAACCAAGGCGTCTGGAGCTGGAGGCATTGGCCGACGTGACTGAAGCAAGCTTAATACCCGTCATACAAGCGTTTGTCTCCGTTTCACGTGAAGGCTTTTGAACCTTACATTTGGACCAGACATTTTCGTTTGTACTGGCAGTCTTCAAGAACACCAAAAAGAATACACTATGTAAAAACCATTGCAGCCTGACTCTCAGCCTTAGGTTGTGTGTAGTTATCTCTTCAGTTGGTAACTTATAGCTCGACAGTTATTTGCGCGTCACAATTTTCTAATTACCTGCTTATTCGTTTATAGCGCAGGAACTAGGCACTGCACCAGCACTAAAGTAACCGAGCTTTGTCTTCTATCTCAGCGGTAGCTCGGAGTTAGACTAACTAGATCTGGTTGAGCTCTGTGGCTGACGTAACGCAAGTTCTCCGCGTTAAGCGTTTCATATGTAAACATCCACACATATGACGCGTCGTCCATGACTTCAACTTTGTAGTAATCGCATTGTTTTTGCATGATTGGTGTAGGATGCCTTGCCATTGGCCTCCGTATATGCGTATATCAAAAAATGTCGTGAAATATCGACTGAACCTCTGAAATGTAATTTAGATTCAAAAGATTATTTACTGTACAGTTATTATTGTATTATAATATTATTACTAATTATTTTGGTACAACATAATTCCAAACCACTTCAGGCTCCTCGAGATGCCGGATTTTGAGCGAGCTTCTTTTCGACCGCCTGCAAACATAACGCTCTGTAATAATGACTACTTAAGTAATATGCACTTTTCTTACTGATTTTCGCAGCCCCTATAAATTCAGATTTATTTTATAGAAAGCGTCTAGGAACACAATTTTTGTACTTACTCGGTAGAAAATTAAGTCTACTTCAAGTTTGTATTCGACTAAGAAATATCTAATTATGAGAATTTTGAAGTCGTGAGGTGTTGATCTCTAGAGCGTCGTACTTGTCCACTTATTGACGCCGCCTACAAAGTATACAACATAGTCCACATCTCCTACACAATTTTATGGGCGTTTTGTGAGCTCTCCGCAAAATATAGAGAAATGTGCAATTTTCCTTAGACAGAACATATACAGCATGCAGTTTGTAAACCAAATGTAATGGCAGATCGGGCCCAAAGTTATTCGGCAACTGAAACAAATTATTTTAAAATCGGAAGTTACCCTTCTAGTATAGTGATTGAAGAAGATAACATTTTATTAAAATGAATACAAAAAATAATATACTTGCTTACATTTTCTATAAGATAAGGGCATCAAAAATAAGTGAGAAAATGCATGCTAATTCAGTAGTCATTTTGTCAGAGTGGAGTCTTTTCTGGTGGCCGGAAAGAAACTCTTTCAGGAGCTGGAATCCTCACTTGATGTAAATATTTCGGGATTGTGCTGCACGTTAGTTAATACTAAAACTCTAGTTTGGTAATCTTTCCGAAAAGAAAATGCATTTGAGGGTTTTGGTTAACATTTAGTGCGATACCACATCTTCTGCAAGATGTCGGCATGTGCGTCATAGAGTGTCACGTACAGCAAACCTGTGGAGTATTGGTGTTGTAACTTACCATAATAACGGCCCAGCTACTAACTGAAAAGGCCCAGACATGTGTTTCGCCGGTATTTGACTGCTGCTGGACACAGCTGCGAGAAGTCCGCCCTCTCAGTGGGTCCGTCCTTAAAAATGAATTTCTGTTCGTTGTATACATCAGTATATTTAAGATCTATAGACATAGACCAACGTTTGACGTGTATATTTGGCTGAAACCCGTCAGCTACTGCGTGATACACACATGCTGCCAACGGCCAGACAGCAGTAGTATATATTGATGTTGTAACTTACCATACTAGCAGCCCAGGCACTAGCTAAAAGGTCAAGACACGTGTTTCGCCGGTATTCTGCCGCTGCTTGGCACAGCTGCGAGGGGTCCGGCTCGTCAGTGGGTTCCCCAGCTTTCCTTGTTTGCTTTCTGGTTGATATGCCGGTTTTGGCCGGAGAGTTCTGATAGCGTTTCTGATAGTTGTTGTGCCAGGGTTAATGTGGCAGGAATGTGCGGTTACAAATGGGACACGTTAGCATACGCGCTACGTCGATCAAATATGTGTGCAAACTGTATGGCTGTGTGATGAGTGATGTTTCAGTGATAACTTTTGTGTATACGAAAATTACTGCGTGGGCCCGCGTGTTGCGCTGATAGAGTGACTGTTAGAAAGAGGAGAGACGTTCTCTGGGACCAATATTTTATTTGCCCGACGTTTCGGACTCTCGCTCGAGGCCGTTGTCAAGGGATGATAAAATGTACGGCTCACTGTTTATTTAACTCTAATCTGCCGGAACTGACCTTCAGCAAAAAAAATTGGTCCCAGAGAACGTCTCTCCTCTTTCTAATGAATTACCTGGGCCTCGCATATTTTGGACTATTCAGAGTGACTGTTGTATTTCCATTCTAAGTACTTGCTCACTAGATCTCAAATTCGGCTGTAAAACTTAAAGTGAGTAAGTGTTATACCAAAGTGTTTACTTTTTCTTTTAACAGAAATGGCCCAATTTTCACCCGTTAATTACCTTATTAGAGTTATAGCATCTATGAATTGTGTATTTTCCACAAACTTTCAAGATTTGACGGAACTCTTACAACAATGTTATTCTAATAATGGAGTCATATTATTGATTTGCGATTTTTTTCGGTATTTCTGTTGGAGAAACTTGGGAAAGAGCTGAATGCTTGCTTCAAAGGTTCCATTGAACATTATTAGAAACCCTCCTCTTGCAACCTACCTTAATGACAAATCTAGGCTGAGTCCTGACAAAATACCCCTGTTATCGTTATGGACAATTCCATGGGGATATTATGTAACGACTTGCTAGCCTAAAATTTTGCCAAAAGCAAATTAACCAAATAGGTACCACAAGTCAACACATTTGCAAAATAGCTTGCCTATCGGTAATGGCTGACTGTATTCTTTGAAAATGTTTTTGATGTAATTTCTGTCCAACTGGAAAATTCGCCACAGCTCTGTTTTATATTTAAGTTTACAGAGTTTGGCTTGAATTATACAATCGTTTGACCGACGGCCAAATGTACTTAAGTCGATTTAACCGCACACTGCAAACCCCCATATAGCCACATAGTTCCTAGGAAAAGTTAGTAAACAATGATCGAATACATCAGTAGCGTTGCAAAAAGAAATAAATTTTGAAATTGTTTTGCTACAGAAATATCTGGTAGACCACTACTCCGGTGCTCCAGCCTAGGATAATCATATTAAAGTTAATCCTACGTGTATTGACGTCCATTCTAAACTTCATCGAGGTTCTAACGTCTGTGTATTTTGAAATCGGGCAGCAAATATTTTGCAAGGCTCGAAAGCGCTACTGTCTCGAGGAATTGGGGGCTAGTACAGGTGTTAGAGATGGTTTAAAAGTCAGTAGTCGAAGTTAGAAGCCTGTAGTGATTGAAATTTTGCCTACCTCCACAGATCGGCGTTATCGTAGTTAGCGTGCCAGTGGCATACTAGTGCCTAAAATAGTTAACCGAACAGGCATTCCATGTGAGGAGGACCATTTTTTTATATAGGCAGATTTTCGGATTGTCTTGCACAACAGCCAAACCACTGGGCGGCGGCGATAAATACGTGTGGTTTCGGTCGTACACAGGTTTGTGCGTAACAAGCACACTTAGGGGCAGAGGCTTTAGGCTGCGCAGCCGCTGCACCCAAGCGGATCAAATCGGTGTGGCGCCGACCTGCCGGGCCTATAGGATGGGACAAAGCTACGGAGGTTGTTTCAGCTCGAATACAGTGCCTAATTTCCAAACATAGCAATATAGTAATAGTGATGACCCGGAAGATTTCAACTGAAAAAATCAAGATTCAAAATCTCTCTTTGGAGATGAACTCATGTGATTAAGGTACAAGCAATTTTGCTATGCACGTTAACAGTGCTTTGGTAACCTCGGCTGCTGCGTCCATGCGCACCTCCAGTTGCTTTGACTCAGTCGTGGGACTGGTACGCGGTGGATGCAGAAAGTGAGGGAAGTAGATGCAGCGGCAGCAGCCTGTTTCATCACAAAAGGCATGTTTATACCTCCATCTCGTCCCCTCTGACATCCCTATTTCTCGTCGCATACGACCGATGGTATAGTTTTCATCAGTTGAATTGCATTCCATCGATAACTGCTCGTGCAAGCAGGAAATTCTGCTCAGTCTTCTTCCGAGATAGTACGTGGAGAACATCATTGCATATTTGCTGTTTTCCTGGATGTGGGTGTTTCGCTGCATTTTGAAGGGCCAACCACACAAATACGAACACCGCCACCGTCAACGTTAGAGACTTCTACAGATCTTTAGGTAGCAATTTGAGGACGTAATTCATTTCATTCGAAAAGTTTCTTATTACACCTGAAGAATGAATTTAATATCTTCTTTAGGTTTAATCCATTAATTTTTTTCCCCAGGTGCGCGGCTTAACGTTTATTCCTTTTCCTTTGCTGATGACGGTGGTGGTTGCAGTTGTGCGTATGGTCCTTCAGAATACGACGACACAACAATCTATTCATTTGTCATCGGTAGAAGCTCGCCTAAAGACAAGAAAGTTACTATTGCCGTCTTGGTAAAGCATGCACCCTCTTCCTTTTTTGCCGAGTGGAGTACATTTTTACAGCCCACCCCCTCCCGAAATGCCTTCAACACGCAAGTAAATATGGGCCAAATGTTCTCCGAAGAGGCACATTCACTAGAGGGGTTCATGAGAAAACTTGAAGTTGAGCTGTATTTCATTCAGCGTTGTCGAGGGTCCACCCCGTCCTCCTGTTTAATCCAATAACTCGTTCTCTCTTCTCCCATCAATTTTATTAATCCTACCTCCCATTCATTTGGCACAACTGGATTCACTGCTTTTGCGTGATCTCCAGACCAGTATTCATAGTCCTGGTAACTTTGAACGCTTCCCCCTACTACTCCTGCTCGTTTGATCAAGTTCCTCTTTTCCACTCACCCCTACCTCCCTCCCTTTTTCTCCATATTCGTTTTAGAACCCTACCGAGCAGTTAGAAAAGCTACGGATTCTGCAACAGGACTTGCACGCACGCAATGTTACCTTCGAGTGGACGTTTTCATCAGCTCTTCACGATCGGAAGATTTGGTAGGTTCAAAGAACTAACTTATCGTCTGTTTTTGGCAACCTTGCGGCGATTTCCGCCAAATACACGGTTATTTTGGCTGGCTGTGGCCTATTGGCTCTCTCTCCCCTCTGTCCTCTCATCGCCCACTTCTGCTGGCCGCGCCACACCCCCTCCCCCTCACCAGGGGCGAGCCGGCGCATCAAACGCAGAGCCTGATCTTGTCGCGATTCTGCATGGTCAGTTGTCCAGGCGACTTGCACGAACACGGCGATAAAATCCACGTTTCTCTGCACGTCAGATCTAGATATAGCAGTCTCCCTAGTGCTCTTTCCTCCTAGACCTAGAGACCGAAGCCAAGCCAACAGTATGCTATGCAAACCCTCTGACAGTCTGCCGCGTTTTTACGCATCTAATTTTACTCAGTTAAGAGCGCCTTGCATAATCCTTATTTTGTTTGACTACGCGAACTGCGTTGTCGATTGATGTATGACTGGTCGCCCACACATCTTAAATGACTTTGAAAAAGTAGTTCATATTATGGTCTCTCTGACCTATTCCAATGTAAACCGTTTACCAAGTAAAAAAGTTAAGTAAGTCAGGGCACTGAATGCACCTCTAGGGTAGTGGGAGTGTGAAGATGTCAATTTTTGGCATTATGGAACTGGCATCAATTCCAAGGGTCGAACGCGATCTCCAGACCGGACGTCTACATTTCAGCAGATAGTGTCCCGCATGCCGGCCATCAAGCAATTAGCGCACCAGAGGGCACCATTGTCGACGAAGGGGGAGCCGTTAATTGTCGTAGGTATGCAGTTGCTTAGTCGCTGCATCCTATACAGTACGACCCAGGATTCGTTTAGCATGTTGACATATGCGAAAGATTGATACTCTCTCAATAATCGGCATTGAGCAGGGTTGTAATGCTGATTATCATGTAGTCAATTCTGACGTCATTTCAGTCACGATAGAATGCCGGCTTTTTAACGACCTTCTTTCTGACCGCTAACAAAAGGTATACACTAAATAGTGGCTACTCAAATAGTATGCCTTTTTTATCATTGCTTTTGAGTGCCTTTATAAATTCAAATATTTTTATGGAAAAGATACACTAAAAAGTCATTTCTTGTATTCGTTTGGTAGCTAATTACGCCTTCTTTAAATTTTCTTCTTAAAGAAATGGTATCTTTCGGTTTGCAAAAAGTTCATAGTTATGATCTTTTTTACGATTGTGAGGTGTTCATTCATAATACATCGTATCCGTCCATTTATTAATGTGTGCAGCATGTTCCACATCTGTCGCAATATTTTATGGGAGCTATGTGACTTCTTCCTCAAACCGTAGGCAAAAAAGTACTTTTCTCTAAGCAGGATGTACAAAGCGCGCAATTTGTAAACTTTGAATTCAAGTGTAGCAGTCAGTAGGTTTCAGAATTATTCGGCAATTTAGAAACTTTTTAAAACCGAAAGATACCCTTTCTTTAAGTATAAAATTTAAGGAAGGCGTACTTTGCTACCAAACAAGTAAAATAATAAATTTTTTGTGCATGCTTTCCATAAAATTTGTTTGGATTTGTAAAGGCAGTCAAAATCAATGATAAAAAGGCATGCTACTTAAGTAGCCACCTTTTACAGTACATGCGTTTTGTAAGTGGCCGGAAAGAAGCTCGTTACAAGGTCGGCATCCTATCGTGACTGAAATGGCTTCAGAATCGACTGCACAATAATCAGTATTACAACCTTACTGTACTTGTGGTTGTTATGGCTGTGCTCATGCCTGATCTAGCCGGCCTGAATGATGTCACGGACGGTACCTCTCCACGCGTGTTGATTGGCGGCAGCGGATCTGGAGAGCTCCATCCAGTGTCTTCTCCAGCGACGGAGATCGAAGATAGAGGGTCCAAGAACTGCTCCCATGTCTTGACGGACGGTGTCGAACCAAGTCCTCAGTTGCCCTCCTCTTCGACGCCTCCAGGTGGGTTGTGATGCCAGATCGAGGACAGCATAGCTAAGTTCGTGGGTTGGACGACAGAGGACGTACTCAAACCATCTCATTCGCCTTTCTTGAATGGCCTGAGATATCCCCGCGATACGATCGCAG